TGGAGGCGGGGTTGGGTGTGTGTTGGGGTGGGGGGGGGGGGGGCACACTCACGCGGACGGCCCTAGGAGGAACACCCTGACGGCCCTCCTCTGTTCGTCCGTGTGCTGGGGACATCGCTGAGACCTGGTGGGACACAAGGTGGCATTATACATCCCTGACTGGTTTACCGTCCACGTCCGGCACACAGTTACATGAACCACCCTGCCTTTCAGGGGGGAGGAAGGTGGAACGGTCAGATACGGACACAGTCAGTGACCAACAGAACAGGTGAGGGCAGCAGTGAAGGGTTACTGAGGGAAATTAAATGCAAGTTGGTCACTGACAGGGTCCTTCATGATCTAATTAGAAATGTGTCTCTGCAGTACTGATGACTTTTTTGGGATCTTAATGGAAGCCGGTTTGTACCAGTTTGAAGAGAACAAAAAAAAAAACCCTAGAACTAGTCATTAATATGGACTTTATGGACGAGTTGGAGACCAATCATTTCAACCTGCAAATTCTATTCCCAGAAAAGTTAGGATGATTTTTACAAATGCAACATGGGAATTTACACTCAAGTGTGTGATGAAAAAGTTATAATGGTTTTGCTAAATAATACAGAAATGTATTTTGTGCAAAATGAGGCCTGGAATGGTCATGCTGAAAATCAAGCATTTCAGGGAATACTAACTTGAAGGGTCAATATCTGTTAAATATGTCTAACACCCATGGTATATTTAATGGGTATTTTTTCATCACATAATTATTTTGAAATTAAAGCTATTTTCCTCTCATGGCAGAAACAGGCTTCTACAGAACTTCCAAAAAAATAAATAAATTTGAGGATACATTTTTACAGAGAAACGGTTCTATTGAGTTGCCACTTGTGTTCCCTTGTGTTAGTCCCAACAAACAATATTGTTTCCTTTGACATTAAAATGAACTGATCATGTTTTTAGACCTAGATGCAAACATGATCTTTAATGTCAGAGGTCATTTCTAAATGGTTTAGTAATGAACACATTCGCATAACAATGTTTACAAAAGGACAAAAGACAAAGGTCAATAGACCAAGACACAGACCTTGGAAATCCAGGAAGACAAAATCTTACAGTACCTGATACAGCCTTATGTTATCAATCAAAGGACAGTATGGAAAGATTACCCTTTATTTCAAAAGGTCAGTGAGGTGGAGGCTATTTACCTGGTGCACATCTTTTTGGTGTGCTCAGAAATCACCCCACATTGCTGTGGAAAGAAATGACATTCATAATCATTTTAAATCAATCTAAAAATAGTTTAATTAAGGATAAGTTCAGAATGCTGAAGTGAAGTCAACTAAGTTCCTCACCGTTGTCAGAAGAGATCTTACTTCGTCAGGACCCAACGATTCATAACTGATGCCAGTGTTGTAGTTGTACTTAAAACAGCAAAGAAACAGTGTCCTGACCTGAACAGTTCAATACATAGACGACACAATCGTAGAAGTACAACTGTTTTTACCTTGTAGGGCTCCGAGATGATGCTTTTCCCGAGATCACCTGGAAAAATACATCAGCATAACTATTCATGCTGTCATCAATACAATAGATCACAGGAGACTTTGTTTTAAAAAAAAACAGCAGATGAAGAACAATACATTAAAAAGAAAAATCAATCAACAAACAGAGAAATCAAATTAATCTGTGATTTTAAAATTTAAAATTCTGTTAGTGTCACAATGGAACCTAAATAACATTGTATTATTAGTATTTTCTCTAAATTTCAGTTACATGAAGGACTTGTGGAACCTTTTTGTCAATGTAATTACTGAATTGAGTTGACACCACACTGCATTTGATATGATTCTAAATCCTGTGTCTGAGAAACCAAAAATATCAATGTCAAAAAAACAGAAACATGAACACAAAAAAACAGTGTACTGACCATTTTTGTGTTTCAGAGACTTTGATCTTCTTGGGGAATTTTGATTCTGCACAAAACGTTAACATTGCAATATATACAATTACACAAACATAATTAGTGCAATAAGTTATATATATATATATACATATATATATATATATATATATATATATACATACTTTAAATCCTAAATAAATATAAAAACAAACATGCAGGTGTACCTTATCTGACTTTCGCTTCTTGGCTATAAAAGAAAAAAAAAATGGTAATCATAATCAATTTGACTTCATTGTTCCATTTTTGTCTTTAAAGTTCATATGTCACCTTTCTTTTCTGCTCCGTATGACCAGTCATTATCGTTAAGGTCATCATTGTCTTCCTGGTCACTTTCTGATTTGCTGTTGTTGTTATTGCTGGCCAGCCTGTTCAAAAGTAGAACAGATTTTATTGTGAGATCATCATTCGTATTCTGGTTGAAACACAACAAAAATTTGCCACTGACAGACCTGCGATTGGCGATTCGACTGCTGTTGCGTCCCATGCCAAGACATTTCTCCAAATGTGGGGCGAAGCGAGATGCTGCTATTAATCTTTTGCAGTTTGGACACTCACACTCTTTGTTCTTCCACTGATTGTACACCTGTCCAAATATGTCCACCCCTGGCTGGTCCACAATTTCTACAACGGCAGTAAAGGGTAAAACCTTTTGGGTTTAACCTTGTTAAAGCTGAGGTAAAATCCACACCACAAAATATACCAGTATTGATTTGTAATCTTATCCTTGTTCTTTAATATATTTACAACTCACCAAATTCCTTCATGCTTTCTTGGTCTGTTTCATCAAGGAAGAAATAACCCTGTTTCACAGCACGGTGCACTTCAAAACACAGGCCCAAACAGGCATCTTCCACCAGCTCAGAGTAGATGTCATGGACCAAGGCCTAGGGTGTCAATGGAATCATTGGAAAAACAAAGTTCAAAGGTTAGGGTTTTTTTTTATGTTTTAAACAAAAATTAGGTTATAATAAATTAGTAGACATTTTGTGATTTACACAACTGGAGGAAAACGATTTTGTTTCACTTCAAGCTTAAAATACTATTTTAACATTCAGCAAGCATTTGTGGAGGTTTCAACTTCAACTGGACATGTATGGATTACATCAGACCGCACTTATCGAGAACAGGGAAGTAAACAAGTCTACAGCTGATAAGCTGACTGACACAAATGCAAAATGGATTGCAAGAAACTGTTGACCGACTGACATAGTTGAGGGCAGCGTCTTTGCTAAAGTTTTGAAAGCAACTCTCAGCTCTTTCTGGAGGCCACAATTTAGGATGCACAGTAACATGTCTTATCGAAACCTACATATAAAGACATTCAATCTAAAAAAGGTTACCCAGAGTTGACATTTTTAACCTAAAATTAAAAGGAAGCACACTTATCTGTACAAACATGTAGGGTATGTTTATTCGCATTTATTTGTAGGATGAGTAAAGTTTAGCATTACAGATTCAAATAAGTAGTTTGTTTCTTTTATTGTGAATGCAACCCCCCTAAGGTATATTTATTTTTCTGTAATATGTAATTTGCCTTAATTTGTTAGAGTGATGGAATTAAGAAAGCTGCAAAGTGGGATCACAAAGGCCAAGTAATTGGCCCCAAGAAGCAGACATTAAAATTACATTCAAAACATATTGTAAATAATGTCTTACCTCCAGTTTGGTGTTGTCTGGGCCTGACAGGGGCATATCCTCCATTTTCATTTGAAAAACTGTATTGGAAATCTTGATTGCAAGGTAACAGGACTGTGACCTGTGTGGATTGAGAGGTAAAAACAAAACAAATTTACTGTCATATTGTGCTGTTAATTCAATTTTCTCACAGAAGGAACACATAAATCAGTTATAAAATATTGTTTAAGTAAAGCTGTGGAATACTTTCTTTTAAAATAGCTACCAGTACTCGTTGAACTGTCTTCATTCTGATGAACAGAGGGAAATATATGCAGGTTCAAGTCACCATTAGTGGCGTAACAGTTGTCAGTTATTGATAGTAAAACAAGCTCAAATATGCATTTATACAGTCAAAATGTTCTGGCACACTGTTGGCCCACATACCAATTTTAGTGGCCCACATCTGGTGTTATGAGTTGATCCTTCTCTTGCTTGTCCTATTGTGGGACCAAATAATGTATATTAGAAATGACACATAGCTGCCAGGGCTAAAATATTTGAATAATGTTATTTTTTAAAATGTAAAAATGAAGTCTCTGCGATGTCCTAAACAGAACATTGTTATTTCAATAATTATTACCCCTCCGAGTGAAATGCAAGACAAAACACAATGGCAGATTAAATATAAGTTTACATTTGACAGCTGGTATGTCATAAAGGACCAGGTCTTACAGGGTGGATTTTGACAACACAGGACTAAAGGAACCCTTTTAATAGAGTTGGACTGAAATGTGGCCTACAGTCTGGATACCAGTCGAAGAACAATGAGTCATTATACAGTACTGTATGTGGGTGACTCGAGCCCATCTTTACCTTAAAACAAGTTACTCAATGTCATAAAAACAATACCGTGAAAATGGTCAGACTACAGTCAGGTCACCAAATAACAAACAACTTCAATATTGAAATGGACTTAAACTTACTGTCAACTACTACTCTTTTACCACTACTACACGCGTGTCATTTTTACATTTATCATCACTCTAAAATGGTGGTTGATAAAACCCTAGCCATACCAAAGCGGCTAACGTTCAATTTTGCTAACATACGTATATCATTCGACATTCTGGTTGTTTTTTTTTTTTGTTTTTTTTTTTTCAGTTTTAGCATTTCCCAGCTAACTGTGCAATTGCACTACTGCGGGGGATAGCGCTTCCACCAACCAGACAGTTTCAAATATACGTAGTCAAAATGGCAATATTATATTTTATTTTACACTTTAAATGAAAAGTGGTTTCCCCTTTCACTACCATACCGAAAAATTAGCCTGAAGCAGGCAGTTTTTCTGAAGAAGCCACATCAGTGACTCAGTCCACACTAAAAACGATAACACAAACTTCGCTCTCCACAAACATCCATTCTCACACATGGGTTAAAACAAAACAAAAATCCCCTAAATAATCCACTGCTGTCGCAAATGACAGTTAAATTAACACCAGAGAGTAGCTTGATGCCGAATAGGCCGACGGAAGCTGTGGAGAAAAACAGAAACCACATTTCCGGTATAAACTTTCAAAATAAAAGCCGTGCTTTGTGGCTCGAAAAGGGTTCTTATTTTGTTAAATTAAATGTGAAACAAGCACAACATATTATCAAAAAGGATTTCTTAACTATACTTATGGACCAAAAGATGTGTATATGCCATGATGCTGATCTCTGCATGTGATCATTCTTTTTTACTTTCTTTTAAGAGTTGTCCAAATTTTTCTAGACAGAAATTTACCAGCTGCTGTTTAAACAGACCAAGTGACCACTGGTGGAAAATGTTTGTCCTTTTCATGTCTAGATGGAGTTTTAAACGTCTGGACATTGATAAAACCCCATAGCCTATGTATACTACTTCACAACTTTAATGCGTGAAAGCAATTTGTACATTGAACGTATCAAAACAGAAGATCTTAAACTTTAAACCAATCTTCATACTGTTGTCATTCACATAAAATCCCTGGCACTAGCAGCTGAATTAACAATGGTTGGTATCATGGAAGTTTATTATAGAGCCTCTAGAGGGACATAGGGAAATAAAAAAAATATTGTTTCTAAAATAAATTAAATCACGTTCAATGTCATGCTTTTCAGCTTTAACATTTTCAAGGCAAGATTTTATCATCTCTATTTGGACACCTGTTGTTCTGATTTGGAGGTTTATATGAAGTCAAGAATCGACATAGAGACTGTTGTGGAAGATATTTTCTTTATTTGCTCAAATACTTGAACTACAAGGACACAAGAGCACCCTCTTAGCTATAGAAAACATCAAATTTTGTCAAATGATCAGCAGTACAAATTCGTAAAGCTTTGCGGTCTTGGACACCTTTATAAACCAACAGAAGGGGGAGAAGAAACAACTAAAACAGGAAAATTCAACAACAAAAAATCTCCCCCAATGTCAAAGAAATCACAGATGAGGGTTTGCTAACAAAATCTCTAACAAAAACAATATGCACTCAATACAAAACAGTATTTACAAAATAAATGGCATTTTCAAACCCCATGAAACCTGGTTTCCCAAATGACATTTACATACTGTAATCAATGTTAGCAATCATTTTGATGTTCCTTCCCCTGTTTTTTATTTATTTATTTAAATAGCCTAAGCTGGTTTTGTTTTGTATGATATGGCTGCTTATGAGCACTGCGTACACATCAATAACAGGCGCTGTCTGCAGAACAACAGCTATTTGTCCATTGTGTGGTAACAAATTATGTAATTTTACCAAAGCTCATTTAGGAATTATGAAAAAGACGCAGGAATTGAAGGAAATAACAGTATCTACATTCAATGGTGTTGCACAGCCCCACACAGGCTCATACACGCACACGACAGTCACATCATAGTAAGCAACAAAACAGCAAAAAACGCATAAAGAGGAAAATAAAGGAAGAATACACCCTCATATATACACAGTTCTGTGCAGGCATGCACACAAACTTGCACAGAGGGAAAGATTTACAATAAGTGCACACTTTTTGGATAGGTAATACACTAAAACCCGGATGGACGAAAACAGTCAAAACCTTTAAAAAAAAAAAAAAAGACAACATGGATGAACCAGTTTACTATCGACAAGTGATTCCAAGCTGAATAAACACAGCTACTGACAATTTAAACAAACCTAAACACAATTTAAAGCAAACCATTAATGAAATGTAAAACAATAGCTTTGAGAGAAACAACATAACTGTATATCACACGCTTTAAAAACAGTCAGGAAATGATAAACCGCTCAGTTGAAACACACTGTCACAGTCACACCTTAGAAAACTAATTCAAAGATTGTTTCAGACAAATCATTTTTCATCTAAAAAAATTATATACAAACATATTTTTTGTGGGGGACAAGGAATCACAGGGTAATGAACCCTGGTCCTTCAGTACCAATAAAATGTACTTAACCACCATTAGACCTGCTGGTGTTGAACCATCATTTGTTGTAAGTCCAACAGGCTTTGTACAATGTTGTAAGTTAAACTGTCTAATGTAAGTGAATTTTAAACCTTTTAACCAATGTATGGCAAATGAAATAGTCTTTGGAAAAACAAGGCAGACTAAGAGTTTAACTAAATTTCAACAAAGCAACTTGAACTATAATACGTGTTATAACCAAACACCTGCAACTTCTATTAGCTTTCGGAAATAAAGATTACAGCATGTTCCTATTTCTGAGCTGCTTTTAGTTGAAAAAAGTTGAAATGTTTTGTTTACACCCCTGCCCCTTTAAATAAAACCCTTCAACACTGATGACTGTCTGACGAAGGGTCAAAGATTTTGATATTGTTCAAATCTTCCTTTAGATGCTTGTGTTGCTTTTATTGCCAGGTGTAAGAATGCCTTATTACATCAACATCGGTTCAAAAATAATAAAACAATAAAATCTTTTTTTAAAAGACAGGGGGAAAGAACATTTTATAGGCACTGCATGTTTCAAATGAGAACATTGATTAAAAAAAAGTTCTCAAACCTTTCAGCAACAAAAAAAGACATTCAAAATGGCTTGGTTTTCATCCTGAAAAAAGAAAAAAAAAAGATATCGCTTCTTTAAGAACCAAATGATAAAAATCTACATCACAACTGATGGAACAAATCAACAATGGTCTGGAAACAAAAAAATAAAATAAAGGAAACATTCTCAAGAGTGCAATTTATCAGTGCCCCGCACCCCCCCTCCATGACGTGATCCCCTGTAATATATATTCTTTGGCTTCACTAAGCCAGTTCACAACTCATGCCTTTTGTCTTTAACTACTTATCAGAATGAGAAAAGAGAGGATGGAGAATTTATCCTTCCAGGGACAATCAAACCCTAACCTTTAACCACAAACCTGTGGGTCAGAAATGTTCGTGTCATTATCAGACCAGTAGGGCGTCTCAGCCTGTGAGATGATCATCCAATTACCAAGGAAATAAAACAAAGAAATAGGAGGTAAGGGTGAGACACCTCCCTGAATTTAAATCACCAATGTTGCAACATAATGTGTAAATGAGTGTGAAATGGATGAGGCAATGCAGGGGCTCCCTCTGGTGGTGGGAGGAGAGCAGGGTTGGCACAGTGGCAGAGCTCCCTGGACTCTTGGCTCAGCTCAGCGCTGCTCAGTTCACCCCTGAATGACGTCCTTCTGTTTTCAGTCTGACTCAGAATCTGATGATTGTGAATTCGACTCGCTGCTGCTGTCTTCTGATTTGTTTTCCTTGTCTTCTGCCTCATCGTCGTCATCTTCTTCATCGTCATCTTCTTCTTCATCATCCTTCTTATAACAGAAAACCAAAAAACAAAAATACAATGAAGATGAGCAATCATTAAAGCATCAATTTTTATTGTATAAAGCCCAATATGCTCACATCATCGTCCTCCTCATCCTCATCTTCGTCATCTTCACTGGATGAGTCTGCGTCAGAGGAAGCCTTTTCTGGCTCATCATCTTCATCCTCATCCTCTTCCTCTGTGTCCTGTGAGATTCAATGTAAATCATGTCATGGCAAACAACAAACTTTAAAAAAAATTTAAATATTTTGAATTTAAAAAAGAACCAGATTCACTCACCGATTTTTTGGTCTTTGCCTTTGGACCACCAGGTTTTGCTGTTGATCTCCTTTTCTGGAAATATCAAAAATATCCACCACAATAAACATATTTACATATTTATGCACAAAAACCCCAAATAACTTAAAAAAAATACTAAGCAACAGTCTATTTTAACCATAGATCATAGATAAGAAATGGGTGGTAGCAGGGACGAGTACCGTGAAAAGGACTTCGTTTTCCTGTTTTTGATACAAATCTGTAGTTAGCCGTCCGGCACATACGTCGTCTAACATAAACACTCTCTCCCTCACATATGGAGATTGCAGTCCTTTTTCAGAGCATTGATGAAAAGGTATAGACCGCTCTGTCCAGTTTTGTATACTTTTTTATACTTGGGTTTCTGTATCAATAATAAAACAATACCCAGAAATAATTTGATGACTTACTTGTGAATTGTACTCTTTGTAGGTATTCCTCTCTTGTGAAGACAAGCTCTAAAGACAGATGGAAGTGCATGTTAAGTAAGAACATACTAAATGAAATGGCTTTAACACAAAACTATAAATTAATCCTTACAGCGAGCCACTGTTCCAGTAGGACTTTATATTGCCTCTGTATCTCCTCTGCAATCTTTTTGTAGCGATCCTTGTCCTTCAGCGCCAGCCTCTGCCAGCGGCTGCCAATCTCAGTCATCCGCTCCTTCATTGGGAGGTGGTTCAACTCTCCGTTGGACAACATCTCCTGAGAGAACTTCTGATATCCATTTCTGGAGAAAAGAAAGCATGGAGAAAAAAAAGACTCAGTATCAGTAAGTTGTACATTCCTGTAGATATCAGAAGACACGGACAGTGGGTTTGTAAAAACATACGATGGTGGCTTCTTGGGTTCACCCTCAAACTTGATTTTCTTTCCTGAGGCAATAGCAGCAACAGCGGGTGAGCGCATCTCACACAGCTCCCTCTGTTAAACACAGATCCATTAATGGTTAGCTTTTATGGGTGATATATTCATGTCAAATTGTTCTGCTAAACCCTGACCTCATATCTTTTCTGATCCTCAGCTGCCTTTTTGATCCACATTATTTTTTCTTTTTTCTCCATCGTGCTCCACGTTGCTTCCATTGCTTTCTGTGCCTTGGGACGGTCATTCTATAAAACAAGAGATTCACATCAAAAACAACTGTGAATCATGGGGCTGTTCCTAATTGTTTTTGGACTTTAAATAATTTATGGATAAAATGTGCCTGACAGATTCTAATTACTTAATTAACATTAACAAGTTTAATGAACAATTTTAAATGTAAAAAGGGCGAGGAAAATGGTGAAACCTGGTGGATATTTTTTTAAACAGAACTTCAAACTCTTAGGTGTAACAATACATACTTGTACATAGTACTATACATATGTAGATATTAATATATCAAAATATATAGTTAATGTGAAAACATTATCTATTAGAGTCCAAAAAATTAGACAAGGGTATTAATTATGAGGCAAAATTATGCTGCCATTTCAATATATTGTAGAGCATATACCTTAAATCTGGCGAGGTAGTCTCCAATGACACTCTGCTGCCAAATGTCCTGAGCTGTTTTGGGTGGGTCTGGCAAACGGTTGCGATCTTCCTTCTCCTTCTTCACTGACTCGGCCTTCAGAACAGCTTCCAGGCGTTTATACTTTTCCTGATGGACCAAGGCAACAACTTTCCTTCAAAACCATCACCATCAATGCAGAGCAGTACAGTTTGCCTTCAAATTTAGATATGTTCTGCATTGAACTGAATTTGGTACCTTCTTCTTATCAGGCAGGTCATTCCACATGCGTGCCAACAGCCTGGTGAGTTCACTGTCGGAGAGGTCTTGTCGCTCCTGCTGCAGCTTGGGTCGTTTTTCCTCAGAGAAGATGAACATGGCTGAAATAGGCCTTTTGGGTTTCTCTGGTGATGTCTACAGGTTTTAAAGCAAGAAGTGTTGGTAGCAATGAACTATTAAACAAGCACAGCTAGTCTAAATACAATTTAGATGGGATGCTTTAATTATTAGAATATCGAAACATGCAAAAGGTTGTGCTCTTCAAACTCGGCGTACCTTTGCTTTAGAAGCTCTCTTTTTGGCAGCAGGACTGCCGGCGGCACTGCCCTTCTTATATCCAAACTTATCCTCACCCAGGACTCGCTGCTGTTCCTCCACTGACAAACTCTAAAGATTGAAACAAAACACCGAAGGATTAACTAACTAAACACAAAGACGATACCAAAAATATATTTTTGTGGGTAAATAAGGTGCAAAAAAGACTTACACTGAGAAATCTGTTCATCTCAATTTCATATTCTTTTTTTCTCTACGGAAAGAAAATGAAAGAAGTATTAGGGATAAATGTGATTAATGTTCTTTCTTATTAGTGATTCCTGAACTTACCTGCTCACAGCGTTTCTGATAGGCGTCCTTTTCACCCTGTTTGAGCAGCTTCCACCGCTGGCTGCACATTACCATGCGCTCTGTGCTGGGGACGTCCTTCATGCTCGACATTAACTCGGCACAGAACATTGAGTAACCATTGCTGAAAGAGCACACCAGGAAAGAAGCGTGAGTGCAAGTACCAGTACAGGAGGTAGCAGTCCAGGTGTAGAATCCTCCTTATACTCACGGTGGTGGTTTGTCAGGACGGCCGTCAGATTTGTCCTTCAGGTGTCTCTCAGCCTTCGTCAGAGTTGACTTAACAATGTTCTCCTGTGTCATGTTTAGCTCAGGGTGCTGCTGGATGTACTCCCGCATCGTTCCCTACAATTTTAGAAGCACACAAAGAAAATTTAAGTTTTTCAGTATTTAATTATTTCCTTTTTATTTGACTCCGTCATATTGCTCCTTACTCACCTCGTATTGTTTCTGCTGCTCTAAAGACTTTGTGATCCATTTGAGTCTCTTCTTGTCAGAGAGCTGTGTCCACTGTTTACCAAGACTATCTTTAATGTCTTTGGTGGTAGCCTGAGGTCAGACCAAAAACACAAAAACATTTGTTAAGCCCTCAAAAAAAGGCCGTTACCTGTCTATTGTAATTATTTGAACTTACGTCCGGGCGGGTTTTAAGGAACGCCTTCTTTTCATGGTTATACCAAAGTTGTTGGGGGGTCTTAGGCTTTTCTGGAACATTTGAACCCTTCTTGGTCATACTTTCCATAAGATCTGGATGTAGTTCTCTATATTTAAAAAGCAGCATTTAATCACAAGTGTAATACTAAAATATGATGAAGGTTCAAACAAAGCATCATTGAACAGTGAGTAATTCTTACCTGAATTTCATCATGCTCTGCACAAATGTCTCTTTGTCTCTTAAGAAGTCTTCAACATATTTTTTCTGTTAAAATGATAAATATATTTTTATATTACTTTATATCCAAGCTGCACAATGGTTAAACATCTGTCTATGACTTTGACTGACCTTCTTTTTTTCAGGCAACTCCCTGTACTTCTTGGACAGAATCTTTGTCAGGTCTAGATTGCTCATCTCAGGGTGTAACTTTGCGTACTTTGCCCTCTTTTCCATGAAGAAGCGGAAGTATGGGGTCAAAGGCTTTTTAGGGAAATCTGGATGTTTCTGTAAATAAAAGGTAGAAAAAAATGTTAATTTTAGCTTGAAACTACTAGATGTTCTCCACCTGGTCAACTGTTAGTTTACCTTTATTTTCTTTCCCTTGTAGGGGTTCTTGATGTAGTCTTGAGCATCAAAAATCAGTTCTGTCAGAGTCCTGAATTTACGAATCTGTTGGTTAAAGCAAAAAGAAAATCCTCTATATCGCGCACATAAACATGTCATTCACCAGGGAAATTGTTTCAGATGGCACACCTCTTTAGACACCTCCAGCCACTTCTGTTTACACATCTCAGCAGTGAAGGAATTGAATGCCACTTTCTGCCAGTCAAGGTGGGCTTCTGAAGTTTTGTATTTAGTGAAGTCTTTCTGTGGCAGAGCCACTTTCATGGCATCCAGCAATCTCAACAGGTCCTCCTGTGCCCACACTGCAATAACAAATAATAATAAGACAATACTCATCTATTTAGGATTACTCCAAAGTTCACTGTAATATGTTTGATCAAAAATGTGTAACCTCGACAAGAGTAAAGGTTTTGCTATCAAGCACTGAAACCAACCTTGGTGTTGAGTGGCTGCCTCCATTTCCCCATTCATTTGTGGATAAACTGTATTCAATCTACAATAACTACACACAAAACAATATTGTTATTATACACAATCACATACAACACTATAATGTAAAATGAAGAAAAATTTATATTTGCATGTTCTAATTTGTTTTGCACCTTAACAGTTTTGAAGTCCTTATTACAAGTCTTAAAAACTTCAAAGTACCATTTTAAAAACGGTGCTCTGTTTTACGAAAACTAGAAACAGATATGCACTGTTACCATTTACTACTCTGAAAATCAGCAATGTGGCCAACACATTTACATGTATTTCAAGAAAAAAGGAAGTAAGAAATACTGTGCTTGGAATGCAAATTTGATTTGCCTTTAATCTTTGTTAATCATCTTACTAGAATTATTTTTTTGATTATTGACATCCTTTGTTGTGTTTAGGGCCACAACTGTTGTTTTTAACTTGTAATTTAGCACATCCAAGCAACTTTTTCTCTCCACAAAAAGTTCCGCCATAGTGAGAACATTAAAAGAAACTAATGTTGCCATTTTTTTTTTACTTTGTCAAACCTATTTTTGACTCACTTTTGAACAGAATGCGTCAGTTTGCTAGTCATTAGACTATTTGCAGCTTACAAATTTGGTCAAAAAACAGAAACTTGTTGAAAAACAGTGGATGAGTTTTCCGTCTTTACAAAGCCTTTCTGCCATAAAGAAAACAAATTAAATGTGCTAATTTTGTCAAGAGATTTGTCAAATTATTGATTCTTAGACTAATAGTTTCATTAATAGCCGTTGATACTTGGTTGATTTGATAAAATTAGCGGGACGATTTGCAGTCATTCTCTAGAGGAGCAATTACATTACAATACTATTTTGCTATTTTTTAGTATTTAGGTTGAAAAGTAATTTATCATGTGTGGTAAAAAAAATAAAAACACTCGAAACACTTAAATAATAGTACTATACAGTTTACAATTGTACATACCATCGGGGTATCTGTCTTTTAAAATCGTTGCATTTTGGTATTAAGTTCGTGTTTTTCGTACATTTTTCTCACATTAGCTTTAAATGTACACATTCGATGTACTTAAATGTGTAAAAAAAAACGTTTAAAAATGGCGTATTCCAGTGGTGAATTTTAAATTTGCCACGAGATAATGGTTTATGATCATTACACCGCCCCTTAAACGTTTACGCTGCATGGTGAGACATAGGCTATTTGCTTGTGACGGCTTCAAATCTCAAATAACACTGCGGACGGCTTCAACAAGCTACGTCTACAGGAGTCTTCGTCGCGCAAATGTTGCCAGTCGGGATTTAACGAATAAGTACAGTCCTTTTTCCACACTAAAAGTGTTGTGGAAGCACAAGTGCGACCATTTTCTTGCCCGTATGCTCGGTAATGGAGGATTTTCTGTCGCAGCGAGGTTGGGGAGGATCCACGGAAGGAGGAAGCGAATGAACGTGGACGGACAGGCAGCTGTAGGCGACCAGCTGACCACGGACGGGGGATATGCTTTCGGTCTTCGACGAGGGTAATGGTGGCTTGGAAGTACTGCAGCCAAATGCGCCACACGGCAAAGGCGCCTCATCACCCTTGGACGCGGATCTAGATCCGCCATACAAACCTTGTCTTTCCTCATATTTTTTAACCCAAAAGCTGACCAGGAATTCGAGTTTAACAATTCATAACCGTCTATTTTGGTATTTGACGTGTTTTCTGATAGTTAACGAAGGTTATATACGGTTCTTCTGCTCGAATTTAAGTACAAAACAGTGCATTCTTCAGCGAGGCGTAGCCGAGCTGTGCTCCAATGATGGCGGCTGCTCGTTGTTCGACTTGTCCTTGATAACCACAACTCACTATGGCGTTCACGGTGTAGCTAAGCGGTGCCGAGTTTAACAAATACTTTATAATACATTTACTATTAAACTCCACAAATCGCTACAGAATTTAAACATTGTTACAAACAATAAAACAAAAACCTGGAAACTGGTATTACGTGACCAAGGGCAACTTGATAGGACAAATATAAGCAATCATATACCCCTTTTCGCGTTATTTTAATTAGTATTACTTATAAAATGTAATGGTAAATGTAATAATTACAACTATAAATGACAACCTGTTTGACATAGATCCAAGTGATCCGCATAAACACAAGTTACCTTAAATTATATTCAGCAGCTTATTTACCGAGTATTCAACATAGTAACAGGTATTTTTTTAATACAAAAAATAAAATGTAAGATTTAAAGGCGGAATGTTGAAGAGGCACGCGTAGGCTCTCGAATATCGAGAAAAATGTGGAACCAACAAACACTAAACACACTAGATAAAGATAAATTATGTTATTTTAGCTTTAAACGGTCCGCGCCAGTGTTTGTGCTGTAGGAAAAAAAAGCACCGAAAAACACGGTTAGTGCTGTAAGGGAACCACGCTAACATCCGAGGCTGAACAGTTTCACTGGCGCGACAAATGGCTCCTGGCCCGCCATGCTTGAGCTCTGCTCTACAAGGAAACCTACCGTGACAAGGTCCAATGGCGCACTGCAAACGCAGAAAACCGAGTCTAAACCTTTAAAGCTCGGGGCATCACAGACTACTTCCACTCGGTGCTTAAAGCACATAAGCGAAGACAAGAAGGCGGGTTCTCCGTGTTGGGTCGACGGTGAAACTGGGCTGTAGTCGCTGAGAGAGAGAGGGGGAGAGAGAGGGCGAGTCTCTGCACGGTGAGATATTAAACCGAGATCCCTGATGGCTGACCGAGAGAGGCGGCTGGTTGTACCGCCAACAACCGCATGGAGGTATCGGCGCTGAAGCCAACGCTATATCCTCCACCCAGACAGAGCGGTTACGGCATTAGTAGTCGGTGTTTGATAAATATAAGTCATTGAACACGACAAGTGTTGTGGGTTTTTATAATAATATGACAATTACCTCCGGCTCTTACGTCCACCTTCCTCCCCGCTATAGAGGACAAGATATTCGGCTATGGCCGACTTCGTTTAATCGCTGCTACAACGGTCGGCTGACTTCCTTACCACAAAAGCCGAACAGCGTGGCGCGTTCGGGTGCAAACAACCCAATATTGGAGCATTTGTTTATGATTTGGCCCTTGTTTTTGCTAATTTTATCGCACACTCGGTTGTATTATCAAGCGGAGCGTCTGCTGTATTTTCTTACCTGTCTCTCGACGTAAGTCTCGGCGTAGTTGTGGAGGAAGAAGGGGAGGGTTGAACGACAGCCAGCACTGCGCCGTCGGTCCAGGGCTCCAGTCCCCGCAGAGATGGTCCTTCCCCCCGCCTCCATCTCTCTCACTGTCTCCCTCCACTCAGCGTGCATCAGCTCCGCTCCATCCAACCACTTCGACACGCAGAGAGTATCCACCTTTTCCTTTCCCCCTCGTTCTGTGGGAGCACAACCGCGCCGGAGCCATTTTTACGGAGCTCGGTTTATCTGCAGCCGGAGCTTGTCGGGTCTGTCTGGGAAGCGGAAACTTTCAAGAAGGCGAAAGTTATTAGATAATCAGCGGTCCAATTCTACCGGACCGGTTTTATTCATGAGAATTCAACTTTATGTAGTTAACGTTGAACGTTGTTGTTTTAATTTAATAATGTAAGCTGATAATTCACGATTAGTTTTCTATTGCGTTGTAGGGGCTGCCTCAGTGGTTACACATTGCTTAATTCGTCTTTCAGAAGATTGTTGCGGCTGTTTTGACAGCTTCATTTGGGCCCAGCATGTTTTCTTTTTAATTCTATTTAGTGTGTTTGTGGGAGGAACCACGGGCTGTCCAATCCAGTCAGTCCACTTCAGAGAAAACAAATGACTTTCAACCAAAGGCCTTATTAAAACCCTGCTGCGTTCACGGACGATGGGAGAAAAATTCACTTGTTCTCTCGAGAGAAAATAATGTGAAAATAGGATTCACATATAAAAAATATGTAACGACATTGTAAAGTATGTAAATACGGTTTTTTTTAAAAATATTTGTTTCTTCATTTTAGACCCGATCTCCATATTTTATTGTACACACACGCATATATTACTTATATGTATTTATGTATATGTACATTCATATGTATTTTTACATAACTGTTTACATGTGCATACATGCATATTCATAAGTAATAAACGTGTTATACGTCTTTACATTAAACAAGTCAATTATTGAGCTACTGGATTTGTTTATTTTGCAAAACTGGTGGTTTATGTATTTTTCTATCTGTGTGTGCATATCTGGTTAACTGCTTGTGTAAAATAAACACAGTGATAGAAAAAACAAATACTGTATATCTATGACTACAAATATAAAATGTCTATTAAAGGTGTCTGTTTTTTTTTAGTAGTCATGTAGTCAATTCTGTGTTTGACTGAGTTTTAATACAATTTAAATGTAAAGGGTGTACAGTGTTTCAAGCACACAAACAAATGTTGGGGAACACAAATGGCTTAGATAAAGTCTATCTACTATTATTTTCACACATCCTCACCAATCCCTTCTTAGTAAAGCATTTAAAATCAAACCTAAGTGCATCACACATATTTATATTCACATTGCAAACAAGTCACGTGAACTGGACAGAAGCAGTTCAACAAATTCTACATAATATATGATTTAATGCAAACTTGCATAACACCTCTTAAAGCATGGTTACCAATATTAAGTGAAAAGGTCACTAAAAAGAGCAAAGACAGGACTGATGGTCCTGTGACATGTCAACAACATGTGTACTGCACATTGCTTAACTGAAATAGTAGACATAGTATGGAGAGTTTTAACACAGACTATTCTAAATGTAGAAATACCAGAAATTATTTTTGAGATATTTTAAACTGCTGGAAGTCATTAAAAAGAAAGAAATATAAATAAATACCTCAGGTAATTAAACATTCCCATTACATTTCAAATTGTTCAAATCAAATATGAAAACTAGATAAGGAACAATAAAGTTAATCTTTGATCATATAACATTTATTTTTATATATTTTCCTATTAAGGGCATACTTGTAGAACATATAGAAATAATTTCTGGAAAAGAGAGGTTACTTCCTTTAAAGAATAATATTGATAATGGAACAGTTTGAAATGGGAACTAGTTGTATGTACTTGTTTTCAAAGACAACTGAAAAAAATATTTTTCTCAAAAGTCTCTGAGTTGTTATTGGTTAAATAGTGTTGTAATTTAAGGCAGTGGAGACTCATCGTACACATCCACTCCAGGTTCCTCCTCAAATGTCACTTTGGCATCATCCGCATCCAGCTGCAGCACAGACACACTCCATTAGAAAACACAGGCATCAGCGCAACAAACACATGAATTTGTGCTGCTAAGAGAGGAACTTACACATTTCATCTCCATGACAGAGAACAGCCTGCCAGTCATTATCATGCGCAGAGGGACGGTGAGAATGAGAATAAATGGCAAAGCCAGAGAGGCTGGACTCATCTTCACTGCCCACAGGACAGCCAGGCACACAAGCTGAATCACAGTGAACAAATGCATCCGCATTGTCTTTACCTACACAAAGCATAGAGAGATGGCTGTTAATAGGGGGCCCTAAAATCCAAGAGGTTTTTTCTTTTAATGTCTATAGAAATTTCTAGGAAAGTGATTCTTAACCATAGGGCCAAGGCACAAACTTGGGCTAGCGCTACCTAGAGGGCTGCAGAAAACCTTTTGTTTTGCACTTGGTGGTTGGTGGGTCACCATTATCTGTCATTATCTGGTCAGGATTTACAGCTCTCATGTGCAAAACAAATACAAGAACCAAAACAACCATAAAGATGTAAAATTGCTGCAAAGAAAGATCATAAAATACATATAAAGGGACACAATATAACATCAGAGAAAACACATCACATCTGCACATACAGCCGATGCAGTGTCACTAAAAAGACATGACATGACCTCTGAGACTGCAACTGAAATGAGCACAAATACCTCTCTTTGACATTTAGATGTGTTATTTTATGAAGGTAATGCCTGGGTGCCTTGTGCCTGTCTGTTCTTCTGGGCCCTTTATCTCCTAACTACTCATGTCCCAAGCAGCATCACATATTGATGACCATTGTCTAGTATAATGCTGGCATACCCTGGTTGCATAGGCCTCAGACGGATGATACTTCTTTGGTGTAATCAGGAGAAGCATCCTGTCCCACATCTGGATTCCGTTCAGTGATGTGACACCCATGTAGAGAAAGATGCCAAACAATGCTGCCATAGGAATCTTCTTCAAGAGTGGCTCCATGTAAATAGAAACGCCTTTAAATCACAGAAAATAATTAGGATTTCAGGAGAACACAGATGTGTTGTGTTTCTATCAGCATTGACTGTGCAGTGGCAGCTCTTACCAACCAAGATGGCCACAAGGATGCCACTGACTCTTTGCTCATGAACCTTCTCAATCTCTGCTTTTGGGCCTTTGGACATGACAGTTAGGGCGTTGGCATGGGTAACCGATCGCACCGTGGCAGCACTCAGCCAAGGCATGCCAAAAATGGAGGCGATGCCGCCCATGACGACCAGGAGGAGCAGATCAAAATGGAAGCCAGATCCTTTCATCATCTTTCTCTCAGGTTTGCTCACAATCAAGCTAATGAATTACACAGATAATTTAGACAAGCACAGATGTCTGATGTTGGTATGAGAGCAAACCAGTGAATAAAATTCACATGAAATGGAATTAAGTGCAGTAGCATAATTTATCACCACTCACGTAGTAATCTGAGATTCAAGGAAGATGAGGATGAAAACAAGCAGTGCAGGTACGAAGCTGGCAGCCATCATCCATGGAGGGAAGGAATTTCCTAAGGGGTTGATCAACCAGCCTCTGGCATCGGGGTTGGACACTTGAATACCATTTGGCACAGCCAGTTTCTACAGAAACCACAGGAATACAGAATGAGAAATGTGTCAACCTATAGCATATGCACATGACAGAGAAGTGTTGTTGATGTTTTTACCACGTGTACCTGAGTGTAAGTATCCTCGATTTGCAAATCAACCAAAACCATGACAAAGATAGCAATAGGGACACCAAAATCTCCGATCAAACGTCGGAGCTAATGAGGCAAAGAGCAAAGGTACAAATGAGACTTAGATGCAGAACTATGGCTTTTGGAAATCTAGGCAAGTTTGTATCCTCAGATAACAGCTCTTACCACGCCTGGGAGGTAAGGACCTTTCTTAAACCCACGAAGGAACAATGCAATGCCAAAGCAACCAAACATCAGGCACATTGACAGCAGGGCAGTGTTGGGGAATGCAACGTTATTTTTCACCTCAGTGCCATTTACAACAGTAGTTGTGATGGTGAAATCACTTCCATTAAGTTGCTTATAGTTTAGAATCAGTGGGTGGGCTTTGAAGATCTGTTCACAAGAAAGAAGTAATTAGAAGTAGGAAAAATCTAATTAGAAGTACTTTACAAATGGCATGGTAATATGATGTGACATGACTGGAGGGATGAAAGGCATGAAACCTTGACAAGCTTATTGAAGGTCTCATAGATGAAAATGAGAGAAATAAGGATGGAGAAGATTTCCTGGGTGAAACGCGAGATATATCGGACCAGGAAGCTGCCTTCCACTGCCACGACGATGAACACGATCACTATCAGCCACATACCAACCCAGAAACGTCCCACAATGTACTCAAAGCCCTGGGATTTGCAGAACTATAAGAACAGATGACAATGTATGGTAATGGATGTTAACAGGGAAGCACAGAGTTTACAAAGAGAAATACATTTCTCCAACAACGTGTACACACAACATAAAAAGCTTCCTCAAACACAAGCAACGGTCCAGAGAAACCAATGACAAGGACAGGCTGTGCGGCGAAGATACAGAAGATGATTCCCTGGACACTGGTGGAGATCAAAAGCTCAGACACGCCCATCATCTTCTCCGTTTTGTCAGCTGAGATCGGACAATGGACAGGATTAAAAAAATAAAGAAGGATGAAATTAAATGATTTCAATTAATTGTACAGGAGAATTCAAACAGACCAAGAAGTCCTCCAAAGGTAACGGCAGGAGAAAGTGCAGCAAAGTAGATGAAGATGACTGCTGCAAGGACCTGAGGGTTCAGAGCATCTGTGTAGTCGCTGATGTAGTAGCGGTAACGTCGCTTAATGTCTTTAATCATCCCACCAAAAGGATAGCCGGTACGGGCCAGAGGGTCTTCCCTGGGCGCCTCTGGTGGTTTGTCAACTGGAAAACAAGAAGAAGAAGAAGTCAAGGGCTGTTACTTATGCTCATGTTTGGTCTGCTTTTCTGCTGTCTCCCCCCATTTTCCCTTTTCTTCCTGTGCCCAGGCAGACAGCTAAACACTGAGTCTGGATCTGCTAGAGAATTCAATTTTTTTTTCTCCCCAAAAGCACTGCCAGAATGCTCACTCAGTGTGTGAGCTAATGTCCATTTAACTTGTAAAACTTCATCTGCTCTCTGTTAACTTATCCTCTTCCTTCATTTTTATCACTTACATATAGGATTTTAGAAGGATAATTCTAACTATATGTAAAAATCGCAAAGCTAATTGAGGCAAATATACAAATAAAATTGACTTTAGTGATATATGTATGCCGACATTTAAGTTTAAATTGAAACCTGCTTAATCTGGTCCAGGACATGGTCACCATAAAATGAAATGGTGTAAAATACAGGTCTACGTGTGTTGTAATGTGCAGTAAGCTGACCTTTGAGCCTATCGCCAAATGCAAGTCGTGTGTCACAGGGGCGAACTCTGTCACGCAGCATCTTCTTTTGGAAATTGATGACCGGTTCCAGCATTGCTGTATCTTGGATCTCGGTGGGAGGAATCACGATGCTGCAGTCCATGAAGTCACTGATGGCGTTGGTCAGGTCTTTTTCGGTCTGCGCCAAAAAGGCCTCCAGACAGAACACCTGTCCAGACCAAACACAGCACTTTAGTAAGGTACCGATGAGGTTTGCAAGGTCTCTTCCCTGGATCTACGTATTCCAGAGGTGGTGTTTAACTCTCTTACCCAGTCACCCATTAGAGCGCCCATGGCACGTCCACACTCGCTGAAGTCTATTCCACTCTGGGCGGGACCCACAAAGACAAACACGAAGCGGACGGGGACAGGACTCTCCAGAGTTGACTCCATCACCACAGAGTCGTTCAGTCGGACAAAAGCAACTACTGGTTTTTCCAGGAAGTCCAGGACACCTTTGGAAAGAACAGCATTTGGCCATATTTGGTTACATCATAGATAAAAGGACAGCTGTATTAAAATGACTTAAATATACCTGACAGAACAACTGAGGCCTCTAGGTTGTCAGAGATGTCCCTCTGCAAATAAAAATTAATTTAGTGTCATGATACAACTGTTCAGGTTATTGAAAAGTTATTAAAACTGACCACAAACTACAGAACTATACCTTCTTGGTCACAGAAAATGTTTGCATCTCAATATCTCCAGAGGAAGTGACCACAGGTCCCCCAGACTGACTGAAAGGATCAATGAGATATATTTTTTAAAACCACGCTCAGGGCAGTGATGCAGCTAATGTCGCTATTAACTGATGGAGTTATTACCTGCGTCTCATGAGAAGGGCCCTCAGAAGTCCGTCACGATCACTGCTGCGGATCTCATTCTTGTACATGAGTTCATCAGCCACCCTCTCAGCCACAGCAGCCAGGCTGGTGGCATTCAGGTCCATGATGAAAGCTCCTGTAAGGCCAAATGAGATTGTGTGTCAATTCGATGGCCTTTTCGAACGTAGGATGAACGGATTTCACTTTCGCTTTAACTAGGTTTCAGAATGTTCACCTGTAGTCATTGTCTTACGAAGCTGGATCAGACCCTTGAAACTGAGGTAGGAAATATGAGACGGACCCCACTTTCCCGTGGCAGGGTTGCAGTTCTCCTCGTAGCCCAACCAGCGTCCTGTCTCCTGCCAGGTGTTGTCCTGGAGCTCATTCAGCTCCACGTACGCCTGTGATAATGCATACATTTTAGTTTAGGACGGCACATAATGAAGCCAAGTCTTACACAGAGAATGGAAAAGCTGGACTAACTTGTGCATCCCCTCTTGTGGTGGCATTGGTGTTGACATTAAAAAAAGCTGCAATACATGAAAATAGATGAAGGAGTTATAAGAACGACACCAACGATTCAAAGTTAGTTTTTATTACATTGACTATTTGAGTGAGTTTACCTTCTGGCTGGATCTCTTCCTCATCTTTCCCCTTTCTTCTCTCCAACTCATAGTCGCCTGGTGAAGTCCTTAAGAAACAAAAAATATGGTCGTTGATGACCACTAAAACTCTAAACTAAACTTTCTCCACAAAAATCTTCCATGATAGCAAAATAAAATGTCTACATTGGCATTGCATTTTTTATTTAGTGTTAATTTTCTTGCACATTTTAATAGTAGTTTTTGTAATTAAATTGCTTAAATTACTTTAAATAGTAATATCTAAATCAAATCTAATGACATTCGCCAAACGCCAGTGTTGCTGCTTTTTTTCTTTTGGCCAAAAGAGGGCGCATTTACACAACTATATGATTCGACTTCTCTCACAACTTGTTTAGAGGGGCTACATCTGCCCGAGAAGCTTCGTTTCAAGGCATTAAAGATTTCGTAGTAACAGAAGGTTAAAATAAACTGCAAATACGAGAAAATCACATATGAATGATTTAAAGCGACTTCAACTGGGAAAAGAACTTACAGTCCAACTGGAAAGGGGAAGGCCGAGTCATTGTCTTCATATGACATGTCACTGCCCTGGATGCAAGGGAAAAATATACAAAAGCATTGATGAATGGTTCTGCTAGTTTATTAACATGCTACATTGTTCAACAAAATGATATTATACATTGGAGGACCAGGTGAAAATGTTGGATTACAAATAAGGATGAAAAGACCAACCTCCCCAAAGATGAAATTATTTTCCATTTGTGTATCTCAGACTTGGACCTCTCAGTGACTTTTGTGCATACCCTAAAACAGACAAGGGATAAATATAGGAAATTGCAACAATTTCAACTTTCTGAGGGTGTTATCATCAATTATATATATATATATATAAAACAAGAATAAGAGATATCCTTCAGTGTTCTATTGTGCAAAATGTCATAATGATTGGTTTTGTTTTTGCTTGTAGCGAACATGTTTTTTGGCGGTCACAGCATCCAATTAGTGCTGGTTTGATAAAGCTGCAGAGTCAGGGCCCAGACAGATAATCAGTCAGCCGTTATGACAGCAAACTAGTTAGAGTGAGAATAGAAAACCTAACGTAAGCCTTATCTCGGGGTTACACCCTTTTCAAAAAGACACACGGTAAGAGAAAGAATAATGTTGCATTTTGTACGTGACTTAAAAAAAAAACAACAACAACATGGGATTGCAGAAATACATTTACTTTAACAATTTGTGTTATGACAATAATTTATGTATTTTATATCATTTTGACAAATGACCTTCGAAGCACTGAAAAAATGTGAACAAAGTGTGCAGAAATAGACAAATACCCTAGAGGTAAATATTAATGTTGCACAGCAGATAAGGTAATATAGTTTTGAATAAAATAATTTATTTAAATATATTTATCACTTTTATTTGGTTGCAGTTTTTTATTTTATTTTAATTGAGTCCATGTTAAATAATAATAAATGATCAGCTTCTCCTGTTTAATAATATCCAATATTTAAGATAAAAACAACTTTAAATCAATTCTGAATGGATACTGACGGTCCTTCTTGACCGTTCACCTCAAAATGAATTCAAATGAGCAAAAACATTTTAATTAGCATCCACCTGTACAACCTGACCTTTGAACTTTACCACATCTATTCCTATCCTGTGAGAGTCCCCCCCCCCCTTACCTGTGTGTAGGTATCCACACCTGGTCTCCCGCACTGGAAACAGGACGATCTGTGTTCTGTCGACGTAGACAAACTCGCTGATAAAGTCAAAAAGACAAGTGCGGTGACAGGACCAGAAAGGCTGGAACACCCACAGGAAACTACGTTGACACTAAGATGCGACGTACCCCTCAAACTCTGGTTGCTCAGCAACCCCATGATGTTAAGTGAAGATAAGGCCCAAGTGTCAGAAACGTAGTCCTATCAGCCCGAGACACCATGACACAGGGATATCCCAGCCCTAGTTTTTCCATCACCGCCCTTTCAGCGTGACCCCTCGAGCCCTCCAACATCATCCTCTCAGAGGGGCACACAGGGGGCAGAGAGGGTACTGCATCTGTCAGCATCAGAAGGACAGCATCTTATTTACGTACTTGGGATTCCCTCTGTATCAATGGGTGGTGGTGTTCCCCTGCCCTTGGTCATGCAGAGGAAAGTGATGTAACAAACAAATTAAACTTTTCATTTCAGCAGGGAAGCTCACTTTGTTTGAGTCCGATAACAGTAAGGCCTGGTCTCCGACACACTGAAGCCAGATGGTGGCCTCCAGGGATGCATGTCCGACTGCTGAGTGGGAAGAGAGCACAGAAGTTCATGAGATAAAATGAAAACAAAAACACATGCACTTTAGAAAATTAAAACAAATTTCCTATATTAGAAAATGTATAAGATAAGTAGTATTTCAGAGCTTCATATCAATGTACCTCAATGTATGAAATTTCCTAACAAAGGATTTAAATTATTACAACTTGTGTTGTTTTGATAAACCTTGTTAGCATACACAGAGCTGATCAAGCTGTGTTTCACTACAAGGAGCTTCATTCGTCCCTCTGTGGTCGATGTATGTAACTTGTGATTTAGTGCTAGGAAGTAAACGAGGTGTGAACGGAGTTTCTCATGAGAATGTCCGTTCCATCAGATATGTAGTTTAAAGTTAAGTATCTGAGGTCAGAGCTCTGTTTTTTTATGCTTCAATGATAGATTTTTTTTTGGTATTAATCTCCTGAGGAGTTTTACTGTCTGCATTTAGTTTATCTGTGAAACACTGAATATAATGTCGCCACTAGGACCCAAAATCTGATCTGATCTGATGTGAAGTCGAGGAAACGAGTAAAACCCTAAATAATAACCTAAATCATCCGTACATTGACTGAAAGGTTCACCTTGAGCCACACAAACAGCAAACGTAGGCCCCAGCTCAGAGCCTGGGTCAGGAATTGATATCACCAGTTGTGAAAGCTATCTGCTGTGTGCATGTGTCTTCATGTTCACTGAGCCGACACTCCCAGTCTGTCAGCGTAGCATCTTATTGATGTGTAATTACAACACATTTGACCTCCTAGTGGTCGGGATGGACAGAACATAAAGTCAATGTCTGTCAATCAGAAAAAAGGTGAATTGTGTGTACAAAGAAATAATCAGAATTTAGTATCAATAACTGTGACCCAGGATCGATGTTCTTTCAATACTAGTTGATTCAAACTTGTTCTCAGGCCTGACAGTCAGAAGTTGTTTTTTTTTCATTGAATATGTAACATATAAGGACAACAAAAACATATTCCTGCCAAAGACAATTCTATATATAAGAGCAGAGACAGTTATATTGTACATGGGCCTCTAAATGACCTAATTAAAAATGTAAATGAAAAAATACTATATTCACATTATGTACTGTATATAATATGCATAAACTATACAATGCAAGGTTGTGTAGTCAAGGTTATTAGGTGAATAATAACACATTGGGTAGAGAATGAAAAGAAAAGAAAAAGAATAGAACTTCATTGTCATTTATCTAGTCCATAAATACTGCAAATAATATGTAACAAATCTGTATGAATATACTTATTGCAAATTTCCATAGGAAAAACTTAAATATTTGCATACATGTACTAGTATGACATATCTCAGTTATCATGATTATATACTGTATATATATATATATATATATATATATAGACTATTATCGTACACCATAACACTGTGTAGGTCTGTGAATAGAGTACGAGTTCTATCAGCATCACTACAGCACAAACTGACAGCTGTGAGTTATCAATGAGAACCAGAGACACAGCCACTGAAGACCCACCCAGTGTAGGACTGTCAATATGCTGTCCAAAATCAGGTGGACATTTAGAATCCAGTTTTTCTGTTTTTATCAGAATGAGAAAGTGTATTTAGGAGAGACCAGGAACACATCAGTGTTTGTTTTTTAACCCACACATTATTATTTGAATGCGTCTTAATAAAACTTTGACAGAATTCCATGTTAAAGCAGGGGTGACCATGGAAAAACTGGCCAAGATTAACCTACAAATTGAATCCACAAACCTAATCCTAGTTTGACTAACATTTTTGCAGCCTTTTGCAGAGAAGACTTTCAGCCAAGAAAATGTTAAGTATTTAAACATTTTACATTTTGATGGTGTGCTGCTACTCCCGTTTGTATTTTATTTTGTCTATTTGTGTGCTGTTCCTGTTGTTTTGGTGCTGTAATGCTTCTGAAGCTTTCATTTCCCCGAAGGGAACTCCCGAAGAATTAATCAACTTCTATTTATCCATCTATCTATCTTGCAACCTACCAACCAATGTCTAAGGACAATAATTAGAAAGGTATAGCTTTTGGAAATTTGGCGCCCCCTAGTGTAAATAACGTGGAAATAAAAATCGTTTGATTTGAACCCACTTCTAAAAATAGCTAGGAATTTGGTGGCAAGTATTTAAACACATTTAAATACAATGTTGTGGAATAAATTGCATTTTAGCCACAAGGTGATGCTATTAAAATCAATCGTTACGACAAATGCAATGAAAAGAGTTACACATATATACAATTATGTTATCCATTTATTCAAGTTCACATTTACTGCCTATCCTCATGCTGACATGTTTGTTTAAGCAGCTCACAATACAAAAGATAAAATTACCACTAAATTAGTACTGAGGTATTGATCCAAGCAAAATCTGCCCAACAGACACAATCAATATTCCTACATGTTAGAAAGAAACATAACAGACTTAATGTTGCAATAAATCTGAAGTGTGATACTATTATTGATGTAAATGACAGCATGATGCTTCAACAGAAGAAAAGTCATTAAATTCACTGGGGTTTGCATTGGTACTTGCATTCACTGATTTCTGTTATTTGCATGTAAGATCAACAAAGCCCTGCATTTAACATAACAATTAGGCAGCTCATCATGACTAAAAATATAAGACAGTAAAGACAAGAAAGGTTACTCTGATTCCATCTCCTCTAACATCTCTGTTCCTATATTTATGTACACCCAGGAAGAGTTCATCAAACCATGGCCCATGTGATTTTAGGCCACAGTAATCATTAACAGCCTGGGGCACTGCTATAGGAACTGAGAAGTTAGTAAGACGAGCGAAAAACATAGAGTTGGCAGCTTATAAATCGTGCCGTTGGTACGAAACACGTTTCCTGCTCGTATAAAAACTGTGCACAAGCCGCAGGTGACGGTAGCAGTTTACGGCTGCACTAGCTCTTCTCCATGCTGTTGAAGCAGCACTCAGGAGACTTACATGATGACACATGGTGCTTGGCTTTTGGTGATCTTCTTCAAAGCCTTTCCATCGTTAGCGTCTTGAATTACACCTATGACCTGCATCAAAAAGAATTACAGTTACAATTTTTTAAATTTTTTTAGTTACTGGCAGTTTATCTGACTGCTCTGTTACTCACGTCATCCTCGTAAGGGAAGCCACCACATTCAAGCTTGGAGAAGACAAGCTGCCCATTGATTTCAATCTCAAAGCTGGCTAAAATACAACATGACAAAAAAAAAAAGATTTAATTATTGTGTCCACGCTGACAACAGACATCTGTGAATATAATCATCGACCATCAGAGCTCAAATCTCAAACCTCTTCTTCCCACGAAGCCTGAAACATCCGCATCAGGAAACTCGCCCTTGACAACACGGGCAAGCTCCAGATAGCGGGGCTCGTACCCTCAGTTTCCACTAAACAGAAAAGGAAAAAAAGAACAGATTTTAAAGTTTGAAAAGGATGATGGGGGCACACGTATAAACATTTTAAATGTGCTGAATGGATTTGTGAGAACATGGTCAGCTTGGTGAAGTAAAGAACATTTTTTGTTAAGTATCTGGAGGACATTACATGATAGAACCCTTATAGAGGGGAAAGATAATACACATATGACAACTGAATGTTGTTTTGATGTTAATGCTTGTAGTGTTCCCCTGTTCCATCAGCCACAGGAGGATTAATTAGCCAGTTAATGGTAGACAAACAACTTGTGTCCAAGTCTGTGTAACAACTGCATGCAGGGAACAGTTTGGACATATAATGGGGAAAAAACGATAGACGAAGGAGACAGATATGCATTGTTCACAATTGTCATAGTTCCTAGAAGCGTAATTTACCATATGACTCCTGTGCGTCAGTTAAGACAAAGCTCTTATTTCTTCGCTTGATTCTGTGTGGTTATGCGTGTCACGCGTGGCCCAACAACAAAACATACCTTGGATGACCAATCAGAGTCTCTGACTAGGGAAAAGGATACAATACTAGAAAAAGCGGATCATCAAAGACCCACCCATGTTAAAAAGATAACTAATTATAGGATTTTTTTAATATACTTTAAACAAGAATCATTTATCGTTTCCTCGAGTGTCGACACACTGACATTGCATTTTTGCAATTTTCACATCAAATGTAATCAAATAAAAAAGGGGGCCCAACAGGCAAATTAAGAATCCAAGTTTGGTCAAGTAAACTACACCATAAAGAATACGTTGTTGTAGCACGTTTACACGCGAAAGTGTCATCTTCCTTGTATAAGAACGATCGACTCCCTTCCACCAACCTTGGCCACAATCACAACAAATATAATCAGCGCACATTGTCAATCTGTGTTGGCAAAAATCCTCGTTCTCGTCTAATTTAAAGGTAGCTTTCGTCTGTAAGCTAGCCGCGCATTAGCATTAGCTAGCACAGTGATGAGAAATAACACCCGTGCTCGTTAGCTCGAATTAACTTTAAAAAATAAAAGGCATACATACCAGTATTCGACTCTAATTTTGATCCCCATAGTTGCTGCTGTCACGTCGGCTTCTCCAGAGCACAAGTCACAACTGTAGTAGGTGATGTGGTGTTTCCTGGTTTTGTAATGGTGAACCGGAGAGATGGGCGGAGTTATTACAAAATCAACCGAGTCCCGAGGACAAGTACGACCTGACAGGGGACTTGTTAGCTACTGTCGTTTAACATACCGTTCCAAATCAATTTCAATGAACATGTCAGGCGTGCTTGGTTCTCAGTTCACACTCTCTTCTACGTACCAATGACGTCAGTTTCCCCTTTCATATGTCCTTTGTTTTTTGTGGCCATACCATTGTTGAATTACAAATCTAAATTGCAAATTTTACACACCTTTTTTTTTTTTAAAACTGCAATAAATCACGTCAGAGTGAAGTGGTCACGAGAAACATTAAGGCCTGACTAATTAATACAATTAGCCAGGTAGCATAAATATTTGGCGAGAGAGATTCGACTTTTATTACTATACTGTCTGGGGAGTGTTTACATGAGAAATGTTGTACGAGTAATTTTTTATACTATTTTAAATAAAAAAAATAACCTTATTGAAAATAGTATTAATGTAAGATAATTTATATGAGCATACTTTTTTCAAATCATAATCCCTGAATTTTTTTGACTATTTGATAATGTTTTAGATGTACACAGTGATGTTGAACATTTTTGTAAATACAATTTAATAATGAAAATGATTTATTTCTGAAAACCCATTAAAATAGCTCAGGGTTAGTTAAAGTACCTAATTGTTAGCAATACCTGGAGCCACAAAAAAGGAAAAAGAAATCAGATATTTTGTGTCATTACAATCACTTAAAAAACTAATTTAATACTAATTAATAAGAAAATATAAAGGAATTACATTACAAGTAACTAAGTCTGAAAGTAAAAAATCAAATGGTCACACACAACAGAGACAAAGACAATGGTAAATGTGAGTAAACATTACTTTTCCTGACTGCAGGAAATTGCTAAGATTTCCTAAAAATAAATATGTTGTGCAAATGATCACTGTCAATTTATCTTACTCAGACATTGGAGGGTAAAGACATTGGTCAAGTCAGAGTTGAGAGAAAAATCTGTCATAATTTGTCCCAGAGCTGGATTTACTGGAAGTAAGTTCTAATTGTGCAACTAATTTGAGAAATTAAAATAACAATTAAATAGGTTTCTAACATCAAATCTGTGTAATGTGAGCAGTTTTCCTTCAAATGTTATTAAGCAAAAAGAGTACGTAACTGGTAACACCTGCTTGTTTCCATGAAGGTGGCGGCAGTGGGGCTGCTCTTATCAGCAACACAACATCCAGACTAGTTGTGTAATGGGTTCATTTGACAATGACGTTTTTTCTTTTCTTATCCAGTCATAAGAATGTTTCATAAAAGTAAATCAGGCTGGGTTTTACACATGTTTGAAGTGACTAACACCTCAATAAAAACAGTATCATAACATGAATTAAACTGAAGGCCTTTGGGCCGGATCTGGTCAATCATGTCATTTTGAATTGACCAGAGCTTCACACTTGTATTATTGTCTTAAGGTCTGTCCTAATGTGTATTGGATACAAATATTTCATTTCTGGTTAAATCATTGTCAGCACTAGACTTTTATATAAATGGTAAACCTGTTTTGCTCAAAACAGTCCAAAAATAAACTTAACTTAGACCTCCTTTTTTGACTCTGATATTCTGATACTCTGAGGCATAAATATTGATATTTATGCCTCCTTTGTGTGGGGTAAATGATAAATGCAGTGAAAGATTCATGTTCCTGTTTAGGATGGACTATTGACCCGCTGCTGTGAGGAGTGGTTCTACGTGTGTGTCTGTGTGTGTGTTTACTCATTAGAGACAACCTTCAGACTCATAAAAGAACATAAAACACAAAGGATCTGCTACAACTCTTCCAGCAGCTGGAGGCTGAAGAACAATGCAAGACAGATGCAACGTTAATTCGCCATGTTTTGAAATGTGCTGACTTATAAGAAACAGCTCGTGGGAGATGGCAACCAGTGAGACGTCAGAAGGTAAGTGTGGATTTGTTTAGTCCTACAAGATGTAATATTACATTAAATTGTCAGCATTTGTCTTTACATAAGAGCCTGGTAGACGTAAGTGAAGAACAGTCACAAAACCCACATCTTGTTTATGATGTGGCTGAAAAGCTCATATTAATTTAGATTACAATCTATAATGTAACGTAATGTAATGTAATTGAATAAAGTTGAATATAGGGCACCACTAAATAAATTAGAGTTGTTGTATTAAATGTAAATTGTGAAACACATTAGAACAATTTTTAACCATTATTATTTTTACCATATTTTTATAATTTTCTTACAATAAATTTACTGTAATTACCTATAAAAATATGATACTAATTTGCCTTTTCCCATTTAGCTGACAGCTGGTGTAATTCACATTTAAAAATCATCCTTCTGGGTGGAAGAAACTCTGGAAAGAGCTCTGTGGGAAATCTACTTCTTGGTAAAGATGAGTTTCTCACCAAAGAAAGGACCATCTGCTCCCGGAGGGTGGGCATGGTGGCAGGACAGTGGCTGACCGTGGTGGACACCCCTGGCTGGTGGTGCGACTTCAGCACTCAGGACACATGTGAGCTGGTGAAGAGAGAGCTTGTAAACAGCGTCTCACTTTGCTCACCGGGGCCACACGTATTCCTTATCATCGTCAAGCTGAGCTCGGCCTTCTCAGAGAGGCGTCGGCGGGCCGTGGAGGAGCATGTGGCTCTGCTGGGTGACGGCGTGTGGAGTCACAGCATACTGGTCCTCACTGGTACTGACAGGTTCAAACACTCTGAAGAGGAGCAGGTGCTAATAGCAGGAAAGGCTCTTCACTGGCTCAGAGAGAGGTGCAACCACAGGACTCACAGGTTCAACCTGAGTGTTGGCACTGATGTTAGCAAACTGCTGGAGAAAATACAGAGAATTGTCAGAGAAAACGGACACGGAGTGTTTGAAGTGCAAGGGAACATTTTACAGGAAGCTGCAGAGGAGACGAGAAGAGTGGAAGAGAGAGCCCAGCAGAGGTTGATGAGAGTTAGAAGACACAGATGTTTGATGCAAGGTGGGAAAAATATAATAAATGATTCAATTTGAATTTTAAGTCAATATAAAACTTAAGTTTCTTAAAACAAGTTTGACACCCCTGCATTACATCTATTTACTTTTGGTCAGATATTCTGTGTTACAATTCACTGAAGAGATAATATATATATATTTCTTTTTTCAGAAAGGGTGAGAGCTGTTTCTGACATCAGGCTCATGCTGTTGGGAGCAAAGGGTTCTGGAAAGACTTCAGTGATGAACACAATCCTAAGCAGAGAGACCCAACCAACCAAGAAAACGATTCAGTGTGTCACTGGAAAGGCAATGGTGTTTGGGCGAGACGTGACTGTAGTAGACACACCAGGTTGGTGGATGAACTACTTCTGTGAGGAGAGCTCCATCTTTGACCAGAGGGAGATGGTGCTCAGTTTGTCTCTCTGTCCTCCTGGGCCTCACGTCTTCCTACTTGTGATCCGTGCGGACAGAGCCTTCACTGAGACCTACAGGAGAGCAGCCCAGGATCACCTGGAGCTGATCAGTGAACACATCTGGAGCCGCGTCATCCTGGTGTTCAGCGTTGGCGACTGGCTGGAGGGCACATCACTCGAACAGTACATCGAGAGCGAGGGGGAACCCCTGCAGTGGCTCGTGGAAAGATGTGGCAACAGGTACCACGTTCTGAACTGCAGAGCTAGAGGAGACGGATTTCAAGTCAGAGAGCTGATCAGGAAGATTGAATTACTGTTCACTGGAGGCAGCGGTTACCAGTATTATGAAATCGAGAGGAGCGTCGTAGAACAGCTGGATATGAAGATGAGAGAGGAGAGTGAAGGAGCCAAGGAGAGATTAAGGATGAAGGAAAAACAAAGACAGATGGCAAAGTCTCAGCTGGGTGAGTTAACTACATTTGGAGGAGATAAACAATGTCAGCACATTTGGATTTAACCAGTTTGATAAAGAAAATGCAATTGAGCTGGTTTGCTGTTTTATTATATTAGCCCTCATGCACACCAGAGGGATCTGTGGTTGACATGCTTCTGTTGAAAGTTTGAAATTTCTTCCCCACAGAGAAACTCGGCCCTCTCCAAGAATTAAGGCTGGTGCTCATTGGTGGCAGAAAAACTGGCAAAAGCTCATGTGGAAACACCATCCTGGGCAGAGAGTGCTTTAACACAGATACACACACCGCCTCCTGTGCTGTAATACAACACAAAATTAAAGACAAAGTGGTCACAGTTGTGGACACACCAGGGGGCTCCTCTGTGTCCCCTAACCTCGTCACGGAGCCACCGACATGTGCTGTTCTTCTAGTTGTTAATTTGAGCTCCTCTTTCAAAAATACCCAAAAAGAGGAGTTGGAGGAACAGCTAGAGGAGGGAGGAGGCCACCTGTGGCACAAAGCTGTCGTCCTGTTCAGCTACGGAGACTGGCTGGGAGACACCAGCATCGAGCAGCGCATTGAGAGTGAGGGAGAACCGCTGCAGAGGCTGGTGGAGAAGTGTGGGAACAGATACCAGGTTCTCGATAACAGAAACACAGAAAATGGAGATCAGGTGGACGATCTGATCCAGCTGATCGAGGAGATGACGACAGATGAAAGGGTCGAAGCTCTTCACAGAACTGATCACATGTGGAGCAGTGTTCCAGCAACACATGAGCAGGAAGAAGACGCCGTGACACAGTTCAAACAGGATTTCAACACATCATGTGATTGTGAGTAGACTCTTACGGGAAGTCACACACTCGTTAGTCACACACATTAAACGCCGCGTGGAACGCATTAGTTCCAGAGCCGGGGTACCTTAATGTCACAGGGTACACACACACGCAGGCATGCACACACACACATATATAATAATATTAATTAATAAATAATAATGTGAACTTCATTGATCCCACACTGGGTGAATTCCTGTGTTAACAGCAGATCAACTGCAGCAGGCTGTATGTGGTGCCTCTGGGAATCGAACCCAGGACTACCTGCTCTCTGCCTCATGCAGAAAATGCCTCATCAAAATGTAAACTATATAACTGAAAATATATCTGTGTGTACCAATGGGTTAAACATGTTGATGAATCACAGAGTTAGGAAATACACCTAAATAAACAAGAGATAAACAGACTTATCTCAGGGGAGGAGTAATGGTTGAAATATTTATAGCTCTCCTGAAATCATATTTGCATCTCTCTCTCTCTCTCTCTCTCTCTTTTTACAGTGCCTGATTTGGACTTTTCAACACAAGCCATTCAAAAGTGCTTAGATGCAACAGGTGCAGCATGTCAGTTAGTACCATTACCTGCCAGCAGGATGAGAGCACAGAACGGAGTCACCGTCCTGGACAGAGACACGTTCATGTCCATCATGGCCTCTGTGCTCTTTGAAAAAAAGAGTCTGAGGTCTGCAGCTACAGGACATGAGAGAACCACAGTGAATTTGCCCGTGTACGTCCCCGCTGAGCTCTTTAACAACAACCTCAGGTTGAATGGTGAAGGTCAAGTGAGTCTGTATTCGGCCTCACATCAACCACCGCTTGTTGTTCTACCACAGTCACAAAACATAGTGGTAGTAGATGAAAGTGCCGCTAACGTTCGCCAACTTTGCCACCCCGTCCTGATAGAGCGGACCCTCAGGAGGCTGACGGAGTCTGGGGGGCTGCAGCAGCTCATTGAGCAGTGGGGTGACAGCAGCTTGGAGGAACTGGAGGCCTTCATAGATGCTTACTTTGAAATGGTGTGGGAACAAACCATGGGTTCTTGTCAGCTGACTGAGCCTAAGTCTCCCACCACGGAGCAGGACACTGAGGTCACGGAGGCCGGCCAGGATGTGGAAGTGCTCTCATCCATAGACAGGAAACTCTCAAAGCTAGAGCTGCTTGAGGAAATTCGGAACGATCTGTTTAAGATGAAGGAGAGTCTGGAGCAGAGCTGCAAGGCCATCCAGGAACTCACTCACAAGAGTTAACAAGAATCTGACAGTTTCTGTTTATATGAAGACAAAGTCTGTCAAAGATAAAGAAGAAAAAAGAGTTGTTAATTGTTAATAATTATGCTCTGATACAACAAGTATTTCCTTAAAAACATTAATACATCATTAGATAAAAACATCATTTACATACATATACATACAATATAACAATAATTAATAATTAATAATCTGAATTATTGTCAAATCAATCATTTAAATTAAGAATATATTTATTTCGATTTATATACATATATATTTCGATGCTTGGCCATTTCTTTTTACTCCTTTTATCTTTTTCTTTTTTACTACACGCCGTAATGTCACTAACATATCTATCCAGAAGGTGGTGCTCTTGTATAGGAGTTTCACGGGATTCCTCCTTTGTTTTTGTTTTGGGGACATATTTTAAACATTCAGTTTGTTGCGAGTTCATACCGGTTCATATGGATAAGAATACACCAACAAAACATGTTAAATACGTGCAAGATGTGGATACTTACAGATAAAAAAAGTAAGTCTTAGTTTTTCACAGTGTTTGTTTGTGTTTTAATCATGCAATTCTACTTCTTCTTCATGATTATATATTTACCGTAGCATCTTCATCTAGAAATGTACTGTTTATCAGCGTGTTTCTACGACATCCCAAAACAAGAAGATGTTTCCGTGTGTGTATATTTCAATGGGTGTGTGTATTAATAGGAGAGTGTGAGGGACATTCCAGCAGCTACTACAGCCTTGGGAACAACTTTCTTTGACCAGTGTGTTTCATCAGAATGACCTAATAAAGACCTGTGACCCTGATGAAGGCCGGGATGGAACATTTGGTCTATTAAAGTAGTCCTCAGAACTACAATTTGCTGCCTGAACAGTTTCACTGCAGTTTCAAGACTGTTCTATCCTCTGTGAACCACATCGTGTGGCAAAGTTCTGCCACTGGTGTTACTCCATATCTACTGTTTCTGAGTTTGGTCAGAAGAAAAGTGAAACTTTGTTCAGTCATCTGTGAATTAGAAAGAGAATTAGAGAATTGGATGCTTAAAAAAATACTGCTGTATCAATGGAAATAAAGCAACTATAAAGCTTATAGGTGAGTGTGAAATATAAACCTATTCACACAGTCGAAGGTGTGAGTAAAGAGCAGACAGAATTAATATATGGATAGAGTCAATAGAAAAAGTACTCATTAATTTGCCACTCACCATAATATAAAATGTATATATACATACGTATATATATAAACACATATTAAAAAAAAAACAACTTTCCAAACCAATATGCAGACCCCATTGGATTTGACTAGGTTATGATCCTATATGGGTCTAACTTGTGTTCATTTCCTCTCTATATAGCAAAATGAGTTCACTCAGTTGTAGTCAGTGGACAAACTTTAGTTTTGGACGTTTTGGACAACTGAAGTTCTTTTACGGTTAATGTTAGCTAGCGCAATGTGTCTTATAATGTTATATTTTTTTCTATTTAACATTACATTTCTGCTCTGAAGAAATAATAAAATACACAATCTCTGTGGTTGTCAAGCTGTGGGAGGAGTACTCCTGGTGGTACTGGGGCTCCCTCTATTGGTATGCAGGAAATTCTGATTCCCATAAGGATTAGGTTAGTCACTCTGTTGTTAAATGCAGCTTAACCAGTTGTAGTATAACTTCATCTCACACAATAGCATTGGCTGATTAATAGACTAATTTTATTAAAGTATATTATGCTGGATAACAAAGCATGTGCAGCTGTTCTTGACCACTCGTGTAGTTACTTGGAGAGCCAAATATCTCCAGAGGGGGAACATGGTGTAGAGAGTTTGAGAACCAGTGAAATCTCCTGATTGGGGACTACTGAAGTTACTGAAAGACGTTTCACCAGAAGAATTGTGAAAGCTCAGGAAGTATATTAAACTTGTCCATCTGTGTACAGGGTCCACCTAGGATTTGAGCAGTCTCCAGCCAAACATCTTATCTCATCTGCTGGAACTATTTATTTTCTAAATATTTTCTGTGTTGAAGAAACACTCAGCTATTTATCTGAATGATTTATTTAGGGGTTTTCAAGCCGAGAGTCGTATTCACACAGAGGTTCATACTAGTGCAAAATTCAGAGGCTGGCACGACGCTGGCAAAAGCAAACAGTCTGCTGCTGCTGCTGTCAAGGCAGATTTCTAAAGTCACAAATTAAAATATATAGATTTCTCTGCTCGTTTGATCCACTCTCCAGTGTCAGATCTGTCTACAAATGCGTATGAAACAGCAAAAATACTTAAAAGCGCCGGTTTTCTATTTTTAGCTGTGTCTGCGCTCAGGTCCAACACTTTCATTTCTCACAGGCACCATCCACTGTGTTTCCATGTCTTTCATTAAAGCTGCACCGGGCAGCTTTGCTCTCGGGTGATTGCACGATGTAGAGGAGTGGTGGAAAACTCTAATGTCATCAGTGAAGTAAACATTAGGATGTTTTTGTTACAGCACGCTGAGCTTGCTTGCGTAGGCAGGTCTTTTTGAAAGCCACAGGTCCAGGATCTCAAACACAAAACAGTGGCAGGGCTAACAAGTCAAATAAAGCTATAGCTAAAGCTTAAGTTAGCCAAGTTAGCTAGTAATTGAGCAAAAAACAAACAGCTAAATGCACTGTTGCCATATATATATTTAAAAACAGCATCATATTGTGGTACAAAGTTTCGTTCTGTGTTAGATATGACATTTCCTAAAACCTTTTAGGCCTGTAAAACAGTTCAGGTACAGCATGCAATGCATGGTTTGTCCACTAGGTATTGCTGTGCAGTAACATGCATTTAAAGAGAAGTTCTGATTGATGGTGAGGGTGCTGTAGAGTAACACCAAAGCCTCCAACATAACTGTGATTGTATTATTACAAAACTACAATCAAAACTATGACACTTTTTGTTTTCAATACAAAGTAATACAGGGCGCCATTAAATCTGGTTAAATAAAATTTGTAAATTGTTCTGTGAACAAAGGTTTATACATATCTGTAAAAACTAGGAAAATATTTGACTAAAAGTATAAGAATTATCTGTACCTCGATATTTGCAGTGATTCATGTAGTAATAATGCTTTTCTCTCTAGACCTAAATATATATATATATATATATATATATATATATATATTTTAATTTTTTTCTTTCTACAAAAATAAAAAATATATATATATATATATATATATATATATATATATATATATATATATATATATATATATATATTTAAGCCATGTTGTTTCCACCAATAAATAGAAAAATAATTCAGATGAAAGGATAAACAGAAGACAAAGGAGTGATTTCTAAGTAATTATGGTTTAGTTTGTCTCTCTCAGACTTCATCTGCAGCTCATTCCTTATTGCATTAAACCTATTAGAAAGCCATTATTTTCCTATTCCCTTCCCGTTCTGTCTCATCATTTGTCTTTCTCTCCTGTCAACATGTCACTCCCCCCACTCTGCTCTCCTGCTGCTCATTTTCTCTCTGCCCATCTTTGTTTTTTCCATCTCCCTGTACCTTTTCTTTCTCTCAACCTATTCTCTCTGCACTTCCCCATCTCTTAGACTCTCCATCTTTCTCTCAAATCAAGTTGGGAGCGGGGGCTCAAGGATCCCCTTTCATTACAGACGTTTTGCTGCCCAGAAGGAAATGCTGCAGAAATACACCCCCCCTCCACACACACACACATCTCCCTCTATCTCTCTGTCATGGAGGCTGATCAGGAGACAATTCTGAGCCGGCATCCATCTCCATTAGTGGGACAGCGCAGCGACCAACACGACCCCAGCCCCCAGCCTGTATCACGTTTCAATGCCTGCTATTTTTCCAGGTGGATAAAAGAAAGACAGGCGGAGAGATGGGCAGATGCTGGGGTTAGGGAGAATAAGAAGGGATGGATGACTCAGACCTGGTGCAAAGAAATGATCCCTCCTCCACTTCCCATCATGCTCTGAAACAACGACATCCCCTGGGGCAGATACCGTCTGGGACACGGCACGGTGTCAACTAGTGAACCTCAGCAGGAGGACTACTCATTCCGGCCCATAAAACAAGGCTCCATCACTGCCTCACGCCAACGGACATTTCACCAACAGACTGTACAGAAGCAGTTTTGTCATGTTTTTAATTTTTACACTTATAAATGCAATGCAAAATGAGGTTAAAATCAAAATCATTAATCAGGATAATAAACGTTTGACCATTTGTTGCAAATGGGCATATTTTATATCCCAGTCTTAGTCACATCAGTTCTTGGCTCAAAACACCAAAATTGGACTGAAGGGTTCCTAACTACTGCAGGCCTTTGATATTGAGTTGACTCTTTTGTGATTTCATTCAAACTGGACCACAGCAATAAATATTAATGCTCTTAAATTTTAAATAAAGGGTTTAAGCATTAACAATTCATTAGCTTGGATTAACCAGAGACTTCCAAAAGAAATCACCAGGGAAAGCACACGGAGGAAATTTGATAGGCAGACGAACGAACGTAAACTGTAAACTGAGTCCAATCTTCATTAGGTCAGTGTGAAGCATATGTCCAGTGCTCCTGCAGCCATGTCAGCTTTCATTCTAAACAAGTGTCCATCAAGACGACACAGGGCATTTATCTCAGCCCCTCAATTAAGTTAGGACACCATTACAATGTCACATTTGACCCATGGTAACAATTTCACTTGAATGACTCGAGAACAGCCTGAAAAAAGCAGGTTCTTTTAAGTGCCTGGGTGATGGAGGAGTGTGTGTCAGGAGAGAATTAAGTGTATTTGCCTTTTCAGCCACCTGGCAGACACACACTCACACACACTCACGATTTATCCTTGATTCACATCCTTCAGTGCACTCCATCAGGATATGCCAGGTCAGGAAAAACCTCAAGGGCAAAGTTCAGGAAACAATTAAATGAAACAACTGCACACCAGAGGAGAGAAATCCAGCTCAATGTTGAATATGTGGCTGTTTCTCATAGTGTCCCACTCATTAAATCATTAACCTCACTGCTGGAGACCACAACAGAGGAATA